GTTCATTTTCTTGTGTGCAAGTTCTCTTTATAGTTCTTAATAACCAATATAATTTATTGGTTAAAAGATAGCAATAAACCAATTTAAATGATTTATTTTGTTAGTTGAAAAAATGGAATTTAATATTTTTACTACGATTTTATTATGGGTGGTCAATGTAGATACTTTAAATAGTAAATATATGATTTTTTTAACTCCTAATATTAGAATGACTTTCGAATCTCGATCATGGATCTTTTATCTAAAACCATGTCAAAGACATATTTTATATTGGCGACCTATTCCGTTTCTCTGTACTTTCGCTTATTTTCTTTTATGTATATTGATATAGTTTTTTCTCACATATATAAACCTTGTATGTTAAATTTGATTAAACCTTGTGTATTGTATGCATTTTTTTTTTTGGCTTTTTAATGGAACACACAAAACTTTTCTACACCTATAGAGTATATATTGGTTTCTGACCAAAATAGAGGGAAACAAAAACAAAAGAGACGAAGGAGAAGAAGATAGCTATCGAATGTACAGAACAAATCCATGCTTATGAGGATGGTAAGCTGTAAGTATACCCATGAGTTTTTCTATAAATTTTGGGTTCGAAAAAGCTAAGATTAGTACAGATTAGTTATTAAACGAAGAAAAATATTTCATTACATGGTTTTCATTACATATGAAATAAGCCCTAAAACCAGCAATATCAAAAGATACAAATGTCAAGCTGATATTTCATTACATGATTTTCTACTTTAGAATAAAAAAAAAATTTCTCTGTACTCCCCACAAATTCTCTCTCAGGCACTCTTCCTGAGATCAGTTATTATCCAGCATACACAATGGTTTAGTCAACGATAACCACTGTACTTTACTGGTTTTAGCTGGTTTTTTGAAAATCACTTTTCACCTACCAAAACTCTTTCCAAAAATAGTCAAAAACCACCAGTCCATAGACAACCAGAAGAAGACTACCGGAGCTGTGACGACCAACGACGGAGCACGGGAGGCCAACGTTGACCTAGGGTTGACTGGAACCTCTCCATGAATGACTATATGGACCAAAAGCTCTCTGTAATGAAGGCTTCACTACAGACTGAAAGTTGCATAAGCTTTCATCCCTTTGTCTGAACAAAGGAGAACCTTCATCAACTCCCCCAAAGTTGAAGAACTTTCCTTCACTACCTGTGAAGTACTCTTACACAAACCTCACAAACTACAATCTTCTCCCTTGTCTTCAAAATGGCCCCTAGATTCTCGACTGCAGAAAAAGGCAAGAGCATCGTTATACAAGGTAACTCTCCACCAAAGATTCGTATTAAGGCACCCTCC